GATTCTAGCCATATTAATGCAACTAATAACAAATGTTTATTGCATTCCATCAGACAAACGTCGATCATTCTTGTATATTCATGTGTTTGGCATCGATCTTTGGAGAACTATAAATGCTGCTTTGGCCATACATTCTTACTGATTTTGGAGAACTATAAACACTATTTTGATTTTATTTTATTGCTGATTTTAAATGCTCTGTTGCTGGTTTTATGTTTCAAACACTTAAATGCAAATATTGTGAGGTTCTAATGACCATTTACTTATTGATTTTAAAAGCTCTGTTGTTTGTTTTATGTTTCAAATACTTATATGCAAATATTGTGAGGTTCCAATAACCATTTACTTGACCATTTACTTGCGATCTTAAATACTCATTTGTTGATTTCATGCTTCGAGCACTCAAACGGGAATACTTCAAGACTCGAGATGACCGTTATTCCAGGGCTTGAATGCTTCTTTGCATGTCTATGTTCTTTTATTTCTGAATGCCTCCCTTGGGGGGCTGTTTTACCTCTTGTTTGGAGGGTTCAAGCATTGTGATTTTGAGGGCTTTGCCTACTGATTCACATACTTTTTTGGAGCCAGCTTGTTAACTGATATTGGAGAGTTTACACACTGTTTTGGGCTGAGTTTACTAGCTGATTTTGGGACATTTAAAATTGATCCTTTGGGCTTACATGAGAGCACTTTGAGAATTTTAAAAGTGCTGTTTGGGAGGCTTACATGAGAGTTTTTTTGGGAATTTTAAAATTGTTGTTTGGGCATTTAAGAGTGCTTTTTGGTGGCCTTTTAAAAGGGTTGTTCAAGGCTTTAAAAATACTGTTGTGGGATGCAATTTTTTGTTCTGTTTCGTGGCTTTTGGGCTGCACTTTTTGAGTCTTTCTAATAGTTTTTGGGCTTCCTTTTTTTATGCTGAGTTGTAGAACTTTCAGGGCCGATCAAAACACTGCCTTGTGTAATAGATTTAAGCACTCTTCCTAGGAGCCGATTTAATTACAATTTTGAAAGAATTTAAATGTTTTTATACTGATTCACTTGCTATTTTATCTCTTGGCTTTGATAGTTTTGAAAGTAGGTTGGTCTTCTCCTTTCTTTTGTTTTGTTTAATTTCTCTTGCTTAATGGTTAAGTCAAAAATGAGGATTTCTGATTTAATTATTTGGAAGACACCTAAAGATATTTGAGGATTAGTTGGAAAATACTTAATTGAGGGTAAAACACCTTAAATCACTTCAAGCACATGTTAAAGTATATGCTTCCTAGATTTTAGGAGCACACCCTAGGTGATAGTTTATCTACCTAATTTTCGAATGAATGATGAAACTAGACGCTTGACCTTAATTCACTAATTGTTTAAAACATTAAACATGAGGATACACCAAGATGTGACACATGTCTTCCGTAATTAAATCAACTAGTGAAATTCCCGCATTGAAACCCGATGCACCTGGATTTGAGCTTGAACATTACACTCAAATTCTCCTAGGAATTGGGGACATTTTTTAATGCCACATAGATCACCGGACTAGAATAAGTCTAGAGTCTAGGTGGCGAGGGCGATGCCGACATTGCTTATGTATACTTAAACGAGAGATACGAAGTGAGATTATTAGAATAATATCACCTACCTCAAGGATCTTCAATGAGGGGAGAGGATAAGGACCGATGATACTATTCACCAACTCTTGGTGAGATTGTTGACCCTGATGCTCTTAAGTCGCCAGTAGTCCTAGCTTGATTAGAGTAATTAGTCTATTGACTGCACTACTTTACAAAATATTTATAAAAATAAAAATAAAATTTCTTTTGTCTATTAAAGTGAACTCTGCATGTAAGTCTAAACAACATTTTTTGCATGAAAAATCAAAAAAAAATTGGTAAACTTTACGAAGGTACACAAATAATCAATTAGATTGAGGTTAATGACTGTCTTTCATAGATTGTCGGGTTGGAGCTCTTACCCAAAGTTGGGAAGCACACAACACAACTCTGAGCCCTCGTTGTTCGTTAACAGTTCGTGTTCGTTTCGTCAATGAGTTCGTGTTCGATTCGTTTGATAAATAAACGAGACGAACGTGAATACATTTTTTTTCGTTCGGTTAGTTAAATGAATCAAATATTTTTTAAAAAATTAAATTTTATAAATTATAATATATAATAAATTAATAATAATAATATATTAATATACTATATTAGTAATATATTAATATAGATATTATATATTTATATAATATAAGTTATATAATTAATATAATATATTATTAATATATATTAATATTAGGGATGTCAAACTGACTCATTGTTCGCGAACAACTCGTGTTCGGCTTGTTTGTTAAGAAACGAACACGAACAGTGACTTCACGAACAATTTCGAACATGAGCTTATTTCAAACAAACAAAATTTCAAACGAACCCAACACAAACACAAGTTCTGTTCGTTCGTGTTCGATTCATTTACACCCCTAGTCTTATATTTAGTTTTGGTTTTCCGTATGTGACCATGAGTTTTGCTTTGCCTGTTTGTGTTTTGCTACGACTCATTTTGCTGCTTTTCACGCTATAATTCATGCTTTCTTCCTTTTTTTTCTGCAATTTATCTGAATTCCCTGCAAATTATATTATGCTTTAGAGCTAACCACGCAACGGGAATAGCGAGAAAATGACAGGTACGCGTGTACAATTTATTTATTATCATTTTTTTATCACTGTAATTTACTCCTGCTTTAATATATGTCACACATGCGTAATTGCAATTTTATTTTCAAAACAAAATAATTTTAAAGAATTAAACAACATTTAAAAAAAAATATAACACGTACTTTTGAATTTGCGGGAGTCCCTCCGATGAGGTAATCCACAGTTGCTAACGAATCTCCCCAGTTTAAAAGAGCTTAACAACTCGTCTGGATTAAGTAAATTCAAGAGAAAATAGTGGTACCTGAACGAGGGAACCGTGGATCCTAAGCAGTGTCACTCTAATCAACTCCCATAATACTCGAACAATAACAAACTTGTCACTTAACCTTACATGATAAAATCTTTTGAACCTTAGAATTTAGGACTGCTACCTTAACAAGGAGCTTGAGAATCAACTTTGTGGGCAGCACGATAAGGAGCTTGGATTGAGCAACAAGAGAATCTTCTTCAACAATCTCTCTCTTTAGTCTAAATAACAACCCATAAGACTTCGAGGTAGTCGATCATCATACCCTCTTTAGGCCCCTGCACAACCATGTTGTGCAGCGTAAGTCCTAACTCACGTTAGGTTCCGAGGTTGTCGTGTGGTACGACGTAAACCCTCATCTCTGCGGGCTATTTGCATAATTAGATATTATGCAAATGTAAGTCCCAAAGTAATAAAATTGACAGGATTAAATACCTAAATAACATCGTCTCCAAAACTCAGCAACACATTAGGATAGTTTGGGAAGTTATTGAAGTTTCTCCTCAGGATCTATGACATCACCTACATTTTTCTTCCTTTGGACTCTTGAAAATAACAGTTCCTATTTGAGCCATTTCCATTAGCTTTTCCACTTCCAACCGTGAAAATCTAAACTTTGAATTTTTGAAGACTAGTACCTCTGATCATCATCGAGAGTTTTCTCAAGTGACCACCGTCTTTTGAGATGTAATTAACTATAGGGGTTTGTCTCTATAGGAAACTTGGAACCTAGGTAAAATAAACTCTTTTTTAATCTTTATATTAGATAGGAGAACTTGTCGGTTACACATAAAATGTTCGCAGACCAAACGAATGTTACAGATCTCTTAGTTTGTAAGATTAGGTCTATAGCCGAGGTATATACTTTTCTTTCGGGAAGGTGTAGTATTCGCGGTATCAGACACGATTATGCAAACTATTAGACTAATGAGATCCATTTTGTCACATTTTTCGAAAATTAAAACGTACTACTTTCAAAACCATTATATCCCTCTTATATTAAATTAAAATTTCAAAATTATTTTCAAATAAAAAAAAAATTAACCGACAATAATCGCATACATGGAACCATAAACATTACTATTTACAAAATCTAGCACTCAAGTGATATTTTTGAACTACCTAACCGATGTATATACGCGTGGCACCATCAAATCATTGAGAAATTGATAAAAATGAAAAATATGGGTTGTGGTTTTATCATGAATTTTGATATTTGAGTGAGAATTTGAAAAATGAACGAAAGAGGGTGCTAGATTGTAAATAGCAATGTTTTGGGTGATCTGCATGTGATTGCCCTTTATTTTTTATTTAGTTTATTGGAAATGTTAAATATTTTTTCTTTTGTTAATAAATTTGTCCACTAATTTTCTAGCCTTCTTAATTATTTTTTTTTTTATTTAATGAAATCAACCTAATCTTAATTTCACCTTCTTAACCTTTTCTATTTTCATTAACTTGCTATTCACCATTTTGAATCTGTGTTGCTTACAGGTGATATATTGAAAATTAGAGATTATCAGATATGTTAAATATAACAAAAAATGAAATTATTAAGGTTAAAATGCAATAAAACTAGTAAGAATAAAACAAGGATTGTTTATATCAGGGGAACATTTGTAGTACCACAATTGCAAACAAGATGATTGAAAACAGAATTAAGTGATTTGGACATGGTTTGCAATCAATGCAAAATTGGTCTTTTAGACTATTTTGATAAATTAGTGTTTTCGAACTAGAAATGATGATGAACAAACCTATGATTACATGGTTAGAAATTATTCGAAATGATTTGTGAATATTATGTTTTAATAACTGCTGCAATACTTGGAATAAATGACTGAGAAACTGAATAAAGGAGAATTCATAATGCCAACTCCAAATGGTTAGGATGAGGCTAATGATGATGTTGCATCTTGTTAAACATATTTGTTTATATTATTAATGCTATTTGTTTTCACTTCTATTGCATGCACTGCAACCCAAATAGAAAAAACTTTTTTTTTTTCTTGTAAAACTTATGCGTGATTTATTGTTATGAATATTTGCATCAGAGTCCAAAGAAGGTAAATTTAGTTGCTAAACTGGTCAGAGGAATGCGTGTTGAAGACGCTCTCTTACAACTGCAAGTTTTGGTTAAAAGAGCTGCAAAGACTGTTTATCAGGTGAAGAAATTCTTTTTATCCTTCTCCGTGGCCTATGTATTTACATATCTGACACCTAAACTTTACTTTGTTACATTTATACCGCTCGAATATTTTATATCACATAAAAAATACCACTATTTTAAGTTTTGAAAAAGTGAAATATACTTTTTCATGCATAGATAAGCTGGCGTATAGATCAAAATTGAAGTTTAGGTGTTAGATATATAAATACATAGGAGTTAAGTGGTCTGTTAAGTAAATATCCCTAAAAAATGTTTCCTTCAAGATTGATAAATGCTTCTACTGATTGTAGGTCATCCACTCGGCCCGTGCCAACGCAGCACATAATCACGGTCTCGATCCGGATAAGCTCATTGTCGGTAAGTCGGCATAGTTTACATAATTTGGCCCATCTTTTGCACCATTTTTGATCAAACGCTTTCTCTTAAATGTTTGGTTCCAAAGCTGAAGCTTTTGTTGGGAAGGGGATTTATTTGAAGAGACTGTCTTACCATGCAAAGGGAAGGTCCGGGATAATGGTTCGGCCTAAATGCCGCCTAACGGTGGCGGTGAGGGAGACGACACCGGAGGAGGAGGCCAAGATTGCTAAGCTGAGGGTCATGAACTACAAGAAGCTCACAAGGAAGGAGAAGCAGCTTGTTCCTCACCAACTTATTGAGATCACACCAAGGTGGAGCAGGAAGAAGAAGGATGAGGCTGCCTAATCTTCTCAGATTAGCTTTCTTCTTTTTCCATTGTTCTGTATCATGAGGTTTCACATGCTTGTTTTGAAACAACATGGTGAAGGAAGCTTGTGTAACTTTTATTTTTATTTGATTTGAGAGAAGATTGTCTAGCGGCTAGCATCTCTTCCATGGGTCTCGCATGGTTGTTTAAGCTATGTTAGTTTTTTAGCATTTGTTGTTAGGGGCATTTACATACATAACACATAATTCTTATGGATTTTTATATCTCATGCCTAAACTTTCATATTTATACACATAACACTCAAATCTTTAATATCAGATCAAAAATAGCACTTTTACGGCATTTTAAAATTGAGATAAGTGTTTTCATGAATAGGTTTAAAGTGTATGTGTGTAAACTTGAAAATTTAGGCGTAATTTACATTATTAATAACTTTTTAAAAATAAATATATTTTTTATTGCATAAATAAGTTATATTAATGTAAATATCAAAGTTTTAACTGTTAAATATGTAAATGTATAAAAAAATGTAATTTTTTTTTTAGTTTTATTAAAAAAAAGCATCTTTATTTCATTGCATTTTGAATATAATCCAACGAAAATTAGTAGTAATCTCAAAATATAAATAATTTCTTGTATTTGGTGTTTTTAATATTACATGTAAAAAAAGCTTGATCAAAAAACCTCGTGACCGACCAGAAGCCAGTCTCGAAGACAAACGCCAAACGAAACGCACCTCCACTGAGCCATGGCGCTTCGACGGCGCCGCCTTTTGCATCTTCGTCGTCTCTTCTCCTCGTCGTCCTCTGATACCAGCGTTCCACTCCTCTGGAGTACCGCTAACGAAGAACTTAGCGGAGAATCAACCGTCGAGATCCTCTCATGGGGCCGAGGCAGCTCCGGCCAGCTTGGCGGCGGAAAAGAGGAGATCCGCTTCTACCCGACCGCTGTCGCTTCTCTTCGCCTCCCTTCGGGCTTCCGGCTTTCCGCCACCTCCGGTCAACTCGACCGCTACGACGTTTCTGCCGTCGGTGACGGTGGCGCGGATGTTGAGGTGGGCATCTCATGCGGATTGTTTCACTCGTCACTTCTGGTGGATGGGAGGTTCTGGATATGGGGAAAGGGGGATGGAGGGAGGCTTGGCTTCGGACATGAGAACCCGGTCTTTGTTCCGACTCCGAATCCTAACCTTGATGAGGTCCGTTGCATCGCCCTGGGTGGCATTCATTCCACCGCGCTCACCCGTTCCGGCGAGGTTTTCACATGGTAGTTCTTATGCCATTACACTTGTCTGTAGAGTTTCTTATCGATCATTGGTCATGACTTGAAAACTTTTTGTTTAGCTAAACAGAAAAAAGGGCTATTATCTTAAGCATGAAGCGAGCTTTGAGTTTTACTGAGTTTGCCTGTCATAGAAATAAGGACAATGTGACCTGCTGGCAACATTTGTTTTTATTCAACATTTGACTAATTACCATAGTGGAATTATTACAACTATTATTTTACCATGTTGCTGCAGATGCAGTTGAATATTCGTGAAAGTTTAAATTAGACATTTGGTAATTCTCATGATGAATGGGCCATGTGCCTATTTTGTTGCTGTTAGATAGATGCTAAATGTAGAGTTTAGTTGCTCTACAAGGGACCTTGAAAAAAATCTAAATTCTTAGCCAGAGTTGATGCCTCTATTAAGAGCTTAGGAAACCTGTATAACATATTTTGCTAGTTTAGCAGAAGTCATTTTTTAACTAGCAGAACTGTGGATTATGTTTGTCATTAGAAGTATGCAATTCTAATAATGTATATCATACTGTTGAAGGTTTGTATATACAAATGTTTCAAAACATGGCAAGTTTCACTTTCTCCATTATTTTCCCTATGGATACTCTCCCATGAATTTACTATTTTCTCAGTTTTTCATGTTTGAGATCACTATTAAACTGAAATGATTTGTTTTATTTTCTAACTAAAAAGGAAGTTTTACCTTAATGAATATCAGCATGACTCCTCTACTTAATTGGCTAAAGTTTGCAGGGGTTATGGGGGATTTGGAGCTTTAGGCCATTCTGTCTATCACAGGGAGCTTCTACCTAGACTTGTGGAGAGCACTTGGATGGGAAAAATATCCCATCTTGCTACTAGTGGTGCTCATACTGCTGTTATTACTGATTCAGGTTACTCTGTTAACATGAAAATTGAAATATAATGGGTACTTTATGCCTTTGATATTTATGCCTTTGATATTTTAATGATGCTTTTTTTTTTTCAGCCACATTTCAATTGACTTAGTTTTATCATGTTGAATGTATGAGATCTTTTTGTTTCATTTTTCCTCTCTAATAAATTACAATGTAATTATTTGGTATCCTTAGCTTTGGAAATGAGAAAGCATGCTTATTTTTGCTTTTATAGTAATGAAAAGAAGGGTGATCCAGCACATTTGCCTTCTTAATAAATAGTTCATGTTTGATCTTTTGTTATAGGTGTGATAAATTGAAATTCAGGTGAGAGTTCCTTATTGTAATTTAAGTTTTATTTGGTTTTGGCATATGTTTTCTCGGATATCTACTCTGAATAGAGAAAAAGTAAAAGTTTTTTTTTGCTTTTATAGTAACGTAAGTATTGGGGATCCTGGACCTTGATGTAAAAAAGAAATAGTCCCTTTTTGATCTTTTGTTGTAGGTTTGATGAGTTAAAGTTTTAGTGAGAGCTTCGTGATGTTATTATAGTTTTGTTAGTGTTAATATGTATTCATCCGTGTACCACATGGGTCATCCCATGGTTTAGGAAATTGTGGGTTAGCTGCTATATAAGCGGGGGAGAATAATTTCTTTCCTTCTTATTATGATGTTGAATTTCCCTCCAATTGTATTTGGGTTAGTCAGAGCAGTATATATATACTCATTATTTGCTTGTATTAGTTGAATGAAAAATCCCAATCCGATCCTCCTTGTAGGCCCTTCTCAGCTTCACCTAATTCCCCCCATTGGCTGTCGGATTTGTCCCTGCTCCTGTCAGGAACTCCGTGGTCTTCCTTGCGCTTCCCAGCCGCAAAATGTCTTTCTAGTGAAAATCATACACTCTTGCAACCTTACGCGGATGATTTATTAGGATTTGTTTTTCATTTTTGTGGGTAACCCGGTTATTTGGGAAGTAAAAAAGAAGTTTTGGTGGTAAGAAGTAGCGTTTAATCGAGATATTGTGCATTGACCCTAGAAATTTGTGAAGGGATGTGACTAAACGAATTATTGGAATTTGTGTAGGGATGTGGCTAAAAAAAATATTAGTGGAACTACACATAGAAAACAAAACACTATTAAGGTGTTCAGTGATAGTTAATCAACTATCAATATTTTAAAGAATCTGGTACACCATGATCGAACCAAACATATAGAGATTGACAAATACTTCATCACTGAGAAGGAGAATGAAGGGGTTGTCCAACTAAGCTATATCCCAACTCAGTATCAGATTGTTGACATTCTGACTAAAGCTCTTTCTTGACACCATTTTAGTGATCTCAATAAGAAGTTTGGAATGTATGACATATACAACCATACTTAAGGGGGAGTGTTGATCTGTATGCATCTATGGACCACATGGGTCCATCCACCGTTTAGGAACCGTGGGTCAAATGCTACATTTTAGGGGGAGAAATTATTCTCCCTTAATTATCCATTATTGTATTTTATTTCTTTCATTTTTATTATGATGATTTGAATTTCCCTCCAATTGTATTAGGGTTAATCCGAGTTGTATATATACTTGTTATTTGCTTCTATTAGCTGAATGAAAAATTGGAGATTTTTTCCCTCAAAGAAACTTCCTCCTAAATTTCGCTGTTAGGTATAGGCATATGGCTTTATGCAGGATATGGTGTAATAGACCACAAGTTTTCCCGGATATCTTCTTCTGATAATTAATGCAATTTAGGCTCCTGCATGGATTCCCTTGTGTATAAGATTAGTATTTAACTATGTATTGGCAATCCATGTTATCAAATTAGTAATGTACCGGTAGTACCTTAGTGGGAATGGTATTGTATAGAAATAGGAAAAAGTAGCGATGATATTGCATCTAGCGGTGTTATGCTTTAGTAGTGAAGTAAAACGGCATGATAGTCTTACGCATTTCTTTCTTATGAAGCATAAGCTCGCAGCAAAGCATGTGTGTACCGACACTTAACCAAGTTGCTTTGTACCATTGTATGCTTAGCTTCATATCATATAGAAATCCAGATTCAGATTTTTTGGTTTATTTTGGCACTGCTGAAAAACTTCACATGTGCATTTACTTCTTGTTATTATTGCTTGTAGTTATTGAACCATTCTTTATTGATTCTACATTTTCTCCTGTTGGGGATATTCTTTTCATGGTGTTTCTCCTCGTTACTCTCACTTCTCTATTATTTTTCTTACATGCTTCCCATTGCTCCTTGTTATTGGCACTAGTAACTTCTTGCTTACAAACTTCTTCTTAAGAACGCTGCTTGATGTCTCATATCCGCACTCTGCTTCACATCGCTACCGCCTTTTGTTCTCTGCTGATTGCTTAGTCTCATGGTTTTTCTTGATTTTTAATTATTCTTTCATCATTTTATTATTTATATCGTTGATATTTTTGAAGTTTGGATGACTAAAATTTACTGTTATTTAACAAATCATTTATTTTTGTTAAAAGTTATTATACGATGTTATTTAAATTTGATTGATTAAATGATTTTTTTATGCACACAATATATGTGTATATGATCTATAATTCATAAAGTTTTAGATTGTAAAACCGTTGCTTCAGTTTTTGTGCATTGAATAAAAAAAGATTTTGGGGTGTCCCATTTTATTTAATCCTTTAAAAATACTGGCATTAAGTGTCAGAAAATAAAATTGATAGTGCGAATAAGATTAGGGCTTAGAGAAGTAGAAGAAAATTTAAAAACTACTTTTAGAATGTGAGAGTAAGCAAGCAAGGGGGATAAAGTGACATCGAGCATAGGAGTTGGGAGAAAGAAGTAGGAGAGATTATGAGGAAGGGAGAGCGGCGATGCGAGGTAAAAAATGAGGGAAGTCATGCGACGCATACGAAACTAAGATTGAGAAAGATAGGTCGAGTTGCAAGTTGAGGGTTTGTGTAAGGTAAGCTTGTTTTCTTCATTCTCAAATTTTAGAATGTGAAAAATTTTAAGTTAGTTTTTTTCTATCAGAAACGGGACCCTTGATATTTGAGTTATTATTTAAATAAAAAGTTGTAATTTATTTTAAATTAATTAAATTTGAAAATTTTATGAATGATAATAGAGACCTTACAAACGTTATGATTTGATAATATATATGCATATAAATAAGAATTTTATTTAAAATATTTTTAGAACCCTTGTTATCTAAATAAGGAGGTTGGTGGATTCAATGTTGAAGACTGTATTTAAATTATAAATTTATAACATTAAAATAAATATAAGTTTGCTAAATTAGAAATGATAATTATTAGAGAAAAAAGATTAAAGACTTGAAAGGCCAGGAATAGCATGTTTCTTAACATAATTAAAACTTAATTAAAAAAGATTTATATATGGTTGTGTGTGTGTGTAAGAGGAAGTTTATGTTATTTATAGGGAATTGTGACAATTATAAGAGGAATTTTAGAAATCAACAAATGTATTATTGATTATGTTATTTATAGGAGTTTGGTTAAATGAAACAACATTAAGGACTAATTGACAAAGCTTAATTTAGGAGGTGAACATAGGTAATTGCATTTCTATTTTATATGAATGAATTGCATTGGTTGTTATGGCCTCTTATATGCATTGAATAGTGTTTTTATAAATTATAAGTACAATATTAGTATTGAATGTATACTCATAATCCTCATATTGAAATGAATGTTTTTAGTACTCATATTTTAAGCTCCAATAATTATTTTATGAAACACATACAAAATTATTATTTCATGGAATATATGCAAAAGTAATATTTCATGACGTATATGCAAAAATTATTATTTAAAATAAGTGCATTATGCGTGGAATGCAAAGAATATGTTATATAGAAACTAATGCATGTGCAATTAATTGATGTCGTTTACTCTTTTATGGTCTTAGCAGAGGTTGCTAGTGTATTCATGTATCGATGACTTTACCTTCTAAAGTTGACTATAATAAAAATATTATGAATGTGTTGCAGTGTTGATTGGGGATGTATCTGCTAAACCCGAGTTGGTGCCTTTTTACCCCAGATAACATTGGATCTAATTTATGTCCCGCTATGCCGACATGGAATATATTGGTCAGGGGTAAGTTAGATTTTATATAAGCGGTGTCCATGTGATGGATGTATTAGTATATAGAAAACTATAAGTTAGTGTTTAGTAAATTCATTATATGATGAGGACTTTAAAGTCAAATTTAATTTTATCATTTCACCATCATGCATCGCTTTAACTGTAAGCAATGTCTATAATCATAGCTATTCAAATGTTAAGTATAGTTTATGGATTGCTTGTAGTGTAAAATAAAGACTATCATGCATTTTTTTTTCTTTTTATTTGAATTACTACTAAGTTATATTTATATCTTACACCTATGTAATAAATATATACTAGAAGAATGAGTTTTGAGATATGAATGAATGAGAGAAGGGAATTCTTTTATCACTAATGTGGAGCTTCAATTAATAGGTGTTACAATTTTTGGATGTTAAAATAACAGTATGAAATTTAATATTATTTTGGAATAGAAAGTAACTTGGGATTGACTGGATTTCTCGATGTATTGAAAGTTGTTTATGAAAGAATGTTTGTGATAAATTATCTTGGAAAAAAATCTGAGTAATTGTCTGTTCTTGCTTTGCTAATCTAAACTCCGGCGCTGAATCATGACAACCTAAGAAAAAATTGTTAAATTATACATTTTTTCTAGGAGTTCGTTCTTTTACATAATGGTTTACCGCCTTGAGAATTTTTAATAATTAGTCAAGGGTGCACATCTAAGGGAATGATGCACATGCATGCATGCATGGAAACTTTTTTGCTGCGAAGAAAGATCAACTCAAGGAATTTACATATAGATGTCTGCATCTAATAGGCACCCGAATGGAACCTTAATGCACTCCAGTTTGTCTATCCGTTTTACTTTGACAGCTCTACAAGAACAAAAAAGAAAAAAGGGAACCTATAGAGCATTTACATAGCTTAGGTCAATCATATATCAATTTAGAATTTGTTATGTCTTTTGAAGCTTCAATATAATCAGATGCGGGAAATTAATGATTTCTGGCTTAGTTTACAAGTTCTATATACTATTCATTTCTCCATCCTCTGGTAATTTTTTAGAGCCTATTGCAATACTTATCAAGTTTTAATAAACTTAACTACTGAAATTGTCTAGAACATGGCCTTATGTTTCCTTTGCTTTGCAAGTATCTTCGATTTTCTGTATAAAACTGCATTGAAAGAATGAGTAGCAAACCTTAACCAAATTGATATAAGTTTTAAGATTGTAGCAAGAAACATTGATGTAAAAAGTTTTTTATTTTTTGAAATATTTCGTTGCATTAAGAAGAACTTTGCAATCTACATTGAAGCTCATGACATATTCATATTCAAAGAAAATCCTGCACTACTGTCTTAAGGTTTAGTTCACTTGAAATCTGACTCCATGTTTCCCTTACTAATCTATTTCAAATTGAAATTCATTGTTTAATGTGATGCATGCACCATAGGTGAACTTTATACTTGGGGTCGAGATCAAGGCGATGGTAGATTGGGTCTTGGTAGCAGTGGAGGTCCCGGTGAAGGGGGGTCTTTTGCCACTCCTTCCAGAGTAATTGCATTACCCGTGCCTGTTGCAGCAGTTTGTTGTGGTGGATTTTTTACTATGGCATTAACTACGGCTGGTCAGCTATGGAGCTGGGGAGGTGAGTAGATTTTCGAATCTTTTGAATATATAGTTTGTAGAAATTGATTTAGTTGCATGTCTTTCGATACCCAACCGGTTTGTGTTTTCTCTACTTGAGTTACTATACGTTTAACAACCCATCTGGCTGTTTATTTTTATTGCTCTTTGATTATTCTTTCTTTTTTCTTGTTTTATGGAATAATGACATGTATTTCCAATTGAGAAGATGGGTATATTTCATGTTTATGCAATTTTCTATCCTCCATTAACTCATTCTAAGCTTCTTTTGCCTCTAATTGTTGCTACATAACGGTTGATTTCTCTATTTTGGATTTGCCAACTTCTTGCCTTTTTGCGGCTTTCTCCAACAACCTTCTCCAACGACTTCTCTTGTGATTCTTCCGCTAGTATTGTTTTTTCAGATTCCCTGGCTTTCACGATCCTTCCTCTGTTGATACTTTCTACAACTCTTGTGGTTCTTCTTAGTTTTTTCAGTGTAACCCTCTTTCGTTCTTGTTGTTTGCGGCCTGTGCAATTTTGGGTTATCAAAACTTGCTGCTTAACCTTTGGCACGTGGCATGCAGGTTTGTATGATTGGAATTTTTAGCTTTGGTTGAAGCTATTTAAAAGAAATTTTAAAATTTTTAAGTTAGTTTGTTTTGATTTATTAAGGTTTAAAACTCACTATTTATCTAAAAAAATTTTTACTTATATGCATCCTAAATTATTAATTAGCTTGAGCTCAACTCATTAATACTAAACAAGTCGTGGCTTGATTAGGTTAACTGAGCTGTTCGATAATACTAAGCTTGAGCCAAGTTAAAGCAAGCTCAAATTGTAATGAACTGAGTATGAACAGTATCTCAGAAGCTAGAGTCAAGATCGAACTAACCATAAACATGTTGATAGTAAACGAGCTTGAGTTTTAACAAGCTCCTATTTGGCTCGACTCGGTTCGCTGCAACTCTAGTTGTGAGTGGGGAGAGTTGCGAGCAAGGAGTGCTTTGAGTAAGAACAAGTCTGTAAGTGGGTAAGCAATTGCATCCATTCTTAAGCTGATTAGTTAATGTTTTTTTTCCAAAAAAAAATTAAAGAAGTTACTTTATTTGCATATGATAAAAAATATTGAATGAAATTCAGATCTATCTTTCATTAAGCACACTAACTTATATATATAGATATAGAAATCAGTAAAAAAGGAAATAATAAAACTCAAACACTATTTTCCTAATTTAAATTCACATATCTAGGGATTTATTATATTCCTAAACTGGATCCCCTTATCAAGGGTATTATTCTATTCCTAAATTTGATGATCATATCACAAAATTTATTACATTCCTAAATTAATGATATGCTTTCTAACACGCCCTTTCAAGCCAGTGAATGAATTTCATTCATTCTCAGCTTGTATATAATCGTTGAGAAGTCATGAACATTAAGCCCTTTTGTAAACACGTTCGGAAGCTGTTCCTTTGTAGGCACATAGGAATTACATATCAATTTGTTGTTAATTTCTTTTGTCTATGAATCTTGATATGATTTGTCTTATCATGTTGTATCGGATTATGATCAATATTGATGGCAGACTTGTTGTCTAAATATTGTTTCATAGGTTTCTTGCATTCTATCTTGAGATTTTCAGTGATGATCTTCAACCACAGTTGCTCACAAGCACCTTGAGCCATTGCCTTGAACTCTGCTTCTGCACTTGATCTAGCTGCCACATTTTGTTTCTTACTCCTCAACATGACCAAATTACCACCAATGAACATGCAATAATCTATTGTGGAACGTTTATCAACCAAAGATTCTGCGTTGTATGCATCATTTTAATATTCTAGTATCATTTCCTCGCCTTTCCTGAATAAAATTCATTTTCGTGGATTAGCTTTCAGGTAGTGAAGTATCCTCTGGTTTGCAGCTTGTAGGCGACTTTCTTTAGGGCTGTGCATGAACTAGCTTACTATGCTCACAATATAGACAATGTCGGGTTGACTGTGCGCTAAATATACCAACTTTCCAACCAATTTATGGACCCTTCTTTATTAACTGTCTTTTCATTATTCGCCTTTCCAAGTTTGTGATTGAGATCAATCGGAGTTGAAGCAGGTTTACACGCTAATTTACCAGTTTCTTTTAAGAGGTCAACAACATACTTCTGTTGGGAAAAGGAGATACTTTGTCGAGATTGAGTTACTTCTATCCTAAGAAAGTAATTAAGTTTCTCAGGCCATTAATTTCAAGTTCCTTTGCCAAACAATTTTTTAAGGTTTTTTTTTCTTTCTCTTCATTCATAGTAATAATTATACCATCAACATACACCAGAAGAGCAGTAAATCCTCTTAAACTCGTGTTTTTGATGAATAATGTCTGATCAACTTGATTTTGTTTATACTCGGTATTAAGCATTACCTTTGTAAATCAGTCGAACCAAGCTCTTAGAGGCTGCTTGAGTTCATATAATGTCTTTTTCAGTCTGCAAACATTATGTCCTTTTATCTCTCCTTCAAAGCACGGTGGAATCTCTTATATTTATATCTTCACATCAAGTTGTTGTAAATCTCAATTGAAATTTACAGCCAAAGACAAAAGAACCATTACTCATTCATCTTAGGTATTGGTGCAAATATATCTTGATAGTTCACTCCAAATGTTTGTGTAGCCTTTAGCAACCAACATTGCCTTGCATCTTTCTAGAGACCTGCCTGATTTGAATTTCATGGAAAATACTCTTTTTCTCTAGCAAGTCCAATCCCTTCCCGGAATTTTGAGCTTGAAATATATAGTAAGATGAATAAAACAAGACATTATAATTCATATCATTGGTTAGTTTGTGAATAGATGAAAGATTAGTGGACAATTTAGGAACATGGAGCACACCTTTTAATAATAATGATGAACTCAAAGTGAATGTTACCAACATCAGGCACTGTGGTAACATAACCAACAATAACAAAAAATTTTCTATTGCTAGGACAAGGTAAATATGTTGTAAAATGGACTGAGGAAGGTGTCATATGATCTGTGGCTATAGAGTCAATGTCCAAGAGTCTTGTATAAACCGGTCAATGGTATGTAATCCTTAAGAGAGGCTTGCCAGAGAATGATAATGAACAAGGGTCCCTTGGCTGCTCCAATGATGCCAATGAACTTTGAAGCTTCTCAATCTCAGTCTGATTAAGGTGGTTGTGAGTAGTCACTGTAGGAATTTTTTAAAGTGGGTTTCGTGGTGGTGGAGACTTGATGGGCTTGCTGATGAAATTTTTGATCACCCCGCTAGCTCCATCCTTGGCTTGAAGTAATAGGTTTTTCATGCAACTTCTAACATCGATTATTGGAATGTCTTTGCTTCTTATAGTAGGTGCATCAAAGATTATCTCGAGTGTCATTTTGGGATGTTTCCTTGGGCTTTATTTTGGTTGGTGTTTTGTTGTACAATCATGGGAGATCCTTCAGTTGTCTCTGATGCAAGATAATTCCTCTTTGACTCTTCGAATTAAGGTAATAATCTCATTTAGTAAAGGGACATCATTCTTGTCAAGAGTTTAATCTTATCAAATTCTGTATTTAGGCCAACAAAAAAATTATACACTCGATCTTTCTTAATAAATTCCTTCAATGTCATGACATTCTCAGGGCACTGTCTCAAGAACCCTATAATGGTCAAGTTATTATCACAGATTTTGCAGCATATTCACATATTTTGTTACTGTTTTGGTGCCCTATTTTGCAGCAACGACCTTTACTTTGAATTCATATACAAATAGCAACACCTTAGACTTCTTAGTATGTATGGTGAAAGGCATCACAAATATCTTTCGTGGAGGTGAAAAATATACACCTATCACTAATTTGGCGCCATCGAATTCAATAAACAAGACATAATCATGGAGTCCTCTTCATTGTAGGTATCAAAATTCAGATCATCTTGTTTTGGTCTTTTATCAAGAATTTGTTGAATTTTTCCTTTGCTTTTTAATTAAGTACGGACTAGCGGAGACCATTTTAAGTACTTCTGACCGCTAAGTCTATAAGGGTTGTATAAGTTTTGCAATTCACTAGGAGGAAGGTGGGTTTTTGGCGCTCCTTCATCAGATTGAAAAAGTTATTTGTTTCAACAATCTAAATATTGCAAATTAATGAAAAAATTACAGCTATGAAGGCTGTCACAGAACGAAGAAAGAAAAAGTTTGTTGAGACTGAAGGCTAACAATAAGTTGACAATAAAAGAATTAAAAAGAAACATAAGGGCGTGAAAATCTTGGGCTCTAGTACCATAACAAAAAGGTGGAATGAAATTTAGATCTATCTTCCATTAAGCATACTAACTATTATATAGAAACCAGAAAAAAAAAAGAAATAATAAAATTAAAATATTATCTTCCTTAATTAGATCCCATATCAAGGAAATTATTCTATTCATAAACTAGATCCCTATATCAAGGGAATTATTATATTCCTAAATTGGATCATCACATCAAGTAATTTATTACATTCCTAAGTTAAATTTTTTCTTAATTAATTATATGATTTCCAACAATTTAGTTTTCTTATTGCTGTTATTTATTTTTTTAATAAATTTTATTTGCATTCTTATAATTTATATTTGATATTGTATATATATATATATATATATATATATACACGTAATTCCTTTATCTAATTTTACAAGTTTTTTTTCTTTTTTTTTTTGTTTATTTTTTTCAATGTTTGAATCTTTGAGACTTCAGCTTCAAGGCTTGTGCCTTTCTTGCTAAGACCCAATGCTCTAATTCTTGATTTCGTCATTTTAAACATTGGATTTTACGATAAGTTTGTATTAAAAACTCTTGGCTCGAGATTTTCTTCATTAGACTCTCTTCCTTTTGATCTTTTATTATTAAGTAGGCTGTATTGTGGCCCTTTAATGTGTCTTAGCATAGGGCATGAAACTAGAGTTTTACTTTCCATTCAAGCCCTTAAGATTTGGCACTTGGCTTGATACATTGGTTCTGTCGAATATTTCATTTATACATGCTTGCTCCTCTGCCTGATTGGTTAAGTTATTCTTTTGCAGCCAATTCAAATTATGAACTGGGAAGGGGTGATAATGCCGATGATTGGAGACCGAAGCCAATACCTAGCGTTCAAGATACTCGTATAGTTCAGATTGCCAGTGGGGGTTACCATTCTCTAGCATTAACTGGTATATTTAATGAGCAGCTTTTTCAGTTTGTTCAGTTGTTTGGTGATCCATTTATGTTTAATTTCCCCCTATTTTCTCAAAAATATAATGCTATTTCCCCCAATTTCTATCCTTCTCCGCAACATTCTGCTCTCATATAACAAAAATGTTTATTTTTGGAAAGCATTCTCGCAATGTTTTTTTTCCGATTTATTACTGAGTTTAATGTTTTCTAAAGTTGAAGTTCAATATGTTCTAACTCCACATGAAGCCATCATAAGTTGCGAAGTGAGATCAAAGCCCTCACCATACACTCTAACTGCTGTTTATTTTTTCCTTCATTTTTTTTTTGGCTTGAAATAACAGATCTGTTATTTGTTTAACTTGCTCTTTAGCAATCAAAATTAAACATGGAGGCAACCTAAATGTGAGCAAACTAAATCAAATCAAATTTATTACTAGTTTGTTTTTTGCAGATCAAAACCTCTTCGAGGCAAATTTGACAGGCTGCATACATCTTCTCAATATACTCATTAACTTTGTCATTACAAGCCCTTCATTTTAAAGGAAATATCCAACAACAACAACAACAAGCCTTTATGCCACTAAGTGGGGTCGGCTACATGACTCCCTTTTCTCCATTGCGTCTTATTGAGTGCTATTTTTAATTTAAGTCTAATAGATTAAAATTATTTTTTATAAAATATGTTCAAGTCTTTCTAGGTCTACCTCTATATTGTTATCAGATTTTGAAATAGAATAATCGACGACGAAGTGAAAAATAGGACGAGAAAATTCACATCAGAAAAGAACACAGATTTATATGGTTCAACAAATTGACTACATCCACAGAGTTGCATGGGATTTTATTACTTGAGGAATTTACACCACAATGTTTCAATTTACAAGAAACACTTATCTCAACTTCAAGGAATTACAAAATCAATGTATTCCTTCACCGTTGTTTCTTTCTTGACGCTGCCAATTTTCTCTGCCGCAGGCTTCCTCCACCGCCGTAAAGAAAAAGAATAAAATAAGAATAAAAAAATATTTTTATTCTCTCCGTTTTTATCTTCTTCTCCTAAGCCTCACGCCAAGCCAGAAAAAAGAGATATGGTATTCTCTCTGTAAGTCTTCATTTCTTCCTTGATCCTGCTTACCCTTAACATATAAACTAAACTGTCGCCACGCCATGAAAGCTTTCCCCTGCATTCTGCTTCCGCTGGTTGTGAGCCAATAATGCTGCAGTAATCTCATCAACTTTGATAATTTCTTTCTCATATGTCAAAGCAGTCAGAAGGTGTTCATAAGAAGAAGACAATGAACACAATAGAATCATGCTCAATCTTCATCCTCAATACTCACATCAGGCCGTGTCAGATATGTGATTACTTGATTGAAAACATTCAAATACTGCGCCAGTTCAGTGTCTGTGTGCATCTTCAGTTCATACAGTCATTGCTTCAGATACAATTTATTCGTCAGAGATTTGGACATAAACTGAAATTTCAATTTCTTCCATACTTCTTCTGGAGATTTCAGATTCATAACATGATACATAATCTCATCTGTCAGACATAAACGTATGGTAGTTGTCGCTCGTAGTTGTAATTTTTCTCAATCTTTATCTTTCATATTATCAAGTTTCGTAGCTCGCAAAACCTTCAAAATTCCTTGTTATGCCAACAAATCTTTCACCATTGTTTGCCACAATCTGAAGTTCCCGGTTCCATTGAATTTCACAAGTTCGAATTTTGCACCAGACATTGTTATTTGAAATTAATCATGCAGCGAACTTTTCCTGCCTTGTGTCGAAACAAAAATCACACCGTAAATAAATTCAAAGAAACATGAAATTTTCTCCGTTAATTGCAGCAAATTTCTCGCAATTCTGTTGTGATTCGTGAATCAAATTTTTCACACGAAGTACTTTTTTGTTTGCATCAACACCTCAGCCAAACTGTTGTCCCGCGAGCGAAACTCTTCGCGAAATACCTTTGTGAAACCACTGTTCGCGAATAATAGCGTCTGCTCGCTTCGCCTGCACCCTGCCTAACTCCACCTGTTGTAACTTCTTCTGCGACAAATTACCGAACTCCTCTCCTCTGTGAAACTGGAGAACTCTCGACTGCCTCTTCTCCTGAAGCCCGATTCGGAATTCCTTCCGCAGCTTGTCTGGGCCTTGCATTCGCTCGTCTCCGTTCCTGCTCTGAACCCCAAACTACTGAAATTCCTTGAACTCCACGCAACCTTGTCGCAATCCAAGGCCTCGACGCGTTCTCGTGGAAATTGCCGAGCCGCAAGCTTCTTCTATCGCGTGATCTTGGTCGCGAAATTTGTTAGGTATGACTCATATACCAAAATTTAGAGTCTCTTGGAATGAAGAGGTGTGTCTCCTGGAATGAAGATGAGAGTGAAGAGGCGTGTCTCTTGGAGATAAGTGGGTTGAGGGAGCGAGGGAGTGTTAGATTTTATTTGTGGGTTTTATCTATATATATATGATGTGTAACTCTATGGGTATGTACTAGACTCCTCTGAAATAGTGAAACGCCGCTCTGCTCCCGAGGACGTATGCATTTTTGCCGAACCTCTTAAATCTCTGTGTTCTTCTGGCTTTGTATCGATTTATGTTTTTCTTCACCCTAATTTCTCAACATATATTTCTTAACATAAGTTGAATCTAAAACATCAACTCTCCTAACAGGATCATCATATGGTCGACGTTTAATGTGACCAAACCATATAAGAGTACGCTCTTTAATCTTGTCTACCACTTGAGCTACACTAATCCTATCATGGATATATTTATTTCACATTTTGTCTTTAAGTGTCAAGTCACTCATCCACCTAAGCATTCTCATCTCAACTAAGCATTCTCATCTTAAGCATTCTCATCTCAACAACCCTTAACTTTGTTTTATGCTTCTCTTTTAAAGGCCAACATTTTGTGCCGCATTACAGGTCTCACCACCATTTTATAATTTTTTTCTTTAAGTCTAAATGGTACTTTTCTATCACACATCAGGCCGGAAGCATTCCTCCACTTCGACTAACCAACTTGAATTCTACTAATAACATCCCCATCTATATCACAATAATTTTTAACAATAGACACGAGAAATTTAAAACGTTCACTTCTTTTAATGATTTGATTACTTATAGTTACAACTCTACCACTAGAGCTACTGTTACTAAAATTAGATTCTATGTATTTAGTTTTAGTTCTACTCAAACGAAGGCCTTTAGAGTCCAATTTAGACCTCCATAATTCAAAATTTTCTTCAACTTTCTCTAATCTTATCCGCAAGAAAGATATCATCAGTGAAAAACATACACCAAGGTATATCCTTCTGTAAATGTCTAATAAGAGCATACATTACTAAATAAAAAAAATATTGTCTTAAAGTCGATCCCTGATGTAATTCAACAGAAATAGGAAAATGTTTGGTTAATCCTCCTTCTGTTCGAACACAAATAATTAGGATATATATCTTTAATGAATTGAATATAAGTCATATCAACATCTTTCTTCACTAGAACTCTTCAAAAGACTTGGAACCTTATCGTAACCTTTTTCTAAATCAATGAAAATCATATGTAGGTCCTCCTTACTCTCGATGTACTTATTCATCAAACATCTCAATAAATGTATAGCTTTCATATGTAAACCTGTCCGGGATAAGTCCCAACTGATTATGAGAAATCTTTGTATTACATCTTAACTTATGATCAATTACCCCCTCCCATAATTTTAAGGTATGACACATCTCCTTAATTCTTCTATAATTTGCACACTTTTGTACATTTCTTTTATTCTTAAAATGGGGACGAAAGTACTCTTTTTCCCCTTCTCAAACATCTTTTGTAGTTTTTAAAATAATATTAAAGAGTTTAGTAAGCCAAGAAACTCCCAAATCTTCTAAATATTTCTAAATATTTCCGCACTTCTAAATATTTCCGCACTTCAATTGGGATATCATTAGGTTCTACTGATTTTTCACCCTCGATTTTCTTTAAAGCCTCATCGACTTCTTTTTTAATAATGCGACGGTAAAAATAAAATGTTTTATTATTATTAACAATATTAAGACTAAAATCGATCGTATATTCAGAAAGTTTTTTTGAATAGTTTATCAAAATAGCTCACCCATCTATGTTGAATATTTTCTTCTAAGAAAAAGAATTTTTTTATCATCTTTAGTACATCTTACTTGAATTAAATCTTTACTTTTATTTTCTCTTTGTTTGACTAATTTATGCATATATTTTTCACCCTTTTTAATATCTAATATATTACAAAGATTACTAAAAGCAGAATTTTTTAGCGTCACAAATTTTCAGGCTTTAAAGTAAATATCCATAGTTTCAATTTCTTTTTAATTAATTAATGAACTGCTAATGAATTCCTCCTATAAATATCCTGAGATCATTGAAGTTAAAGAAAACTTCACTGCTGAGATTTTAGTTTGTGGTAATAGTTTCTGTCTACGTCTAATTTCTAATTTCTGGCTCCTTATATCTTCTCAGTAGTCTGCCTTATTCTATGAGCATTATTATCTAATATAAACTAATGTTGAGGTATTCTTGGTAAAAAAATGAAAGCCGTTAAGAATAAATAAATGTTTGCTCTTTTAAATTTTTCTCTAATGGAATCTCTTTGTTATGTACTTAGATAAAGGTGAAGTGTTTTCTTGGGGCCATGGAGGTCATGGTCAGTTGGGTCATAGCTCCAATAAAAGCCAAAAGGTCCCGACTTTCATTGAGGCTTTAGCACAGGAGCATATTACTTACATTGCATGTGGTGGTTCATCATCAGCTGCGGTTAACGGTAAGGATTTTTCTTCAGAAATACTTAATGTGCTATGTGAGTTAAAAAATACAAGGCAAAAGGAATATATGGAACATTATCTCTGAGACTTCACATTAACTTTATGCTTTGTATTGTTCTAGAAACCGCTAGGCATCACCCATATATGAATATCTGCAAGCATGCCCAGCAGATTTATGAAGGGAAAAAATTTTCATCAAGATATCTTAACCAAAAAGTGATCAGACTTTGAGATGATCACAATATTAATTATTTGTGCACTACGCTCATCTCGAAGCAATTCAAAAAAGTGTAAGACTATTCCCAACCTAATTTTGTTTTCTTGAAGAGGATGAGCTTTGATTTTTCCCAATAATTTCTAATTTATATGCCCCAATTATATGTTTATTGTTTGTGTTAGGCCAGCTTAGAGCCAATGCTAGTTTTGAAAATAGAATTCTTTCAAATGGATCTTTGATATCATGACTTGAAAGTTGTATTCAATATCCTGATTAGTTTATGATACTATTATATTGACAGATGTAAATTGTCAAAATTCAACTTATAAGGGCGTTTGGTAGCAGGATTTACACAGGCTTCATGCTACATCTTGCCAAACGGTCAATATGATCAAAACAAATCTTATAGTTTTATAAATCTTATTTACGTCAGGTAAGCTCTAAATCTGCACTTGTCTTAATCCTAACTAGGAATTAGAACTTGATAGTTGACTCGTTAACCACCTTCAAAGTAAAGGTTTGTTTGAAGGAAAAAAAAACTGTTAATTTCCATCATCTTTTGCAGTAGAAACTTAATCTACGAACACCTCTTTCTACAGAGTTCAGGGTTTTGGGGCTTTAATTCAGCACATTTTTTCATTAACTTATGTCACATTTAGGTTCTTAAATAAAGAAAGTGCATTTTAAATGAAGTTTCCACGGCCTAAAAATTTGGAATTTTACATTATAGTTTGATGCTGTTAAACTATATAATTCATTTATGCTTTTAGTAAACGGACTTTGTTCGCTCGTAATCACTTCAAAATAGTTACAACATAGTAGCCCTTCCAATTATATTATTTTTATTTGCTTATAAAATTAGTCCCAAGCCCCAAATGTGAAAAGTAAAGAGTTACGTTAGGTAGTTGACAAGCAGTTAAAAATTTGTCGAAAAAGCATGACATGAATCATTTTGATCATTATGTAAATTTTAGGGCATCACATGGAAGCGACACACTATATGACCTGAATACAGTGAAAATTTTGCAAGGTCCGTTACACAGGTGTCCGGATGCAGTGTCAAATAAGCTAGAGTTCTCATATTACGGACGGATGTGAGTAAAGAACTTAGTCCATGAAACTAATATTAGGACAATCTTAAAATATAGGTATTCTCACTGATAAATTAATGAAATTAGTTGATATTAGGATTCATTGAAAGATAAATGTCTTATATATTTAAGAAACTAAATAGGTTGGAGAAAGACTAAGGAGATTGATTACTTAGATTTTAAATTTTGGTATTCAGTTAATAGTCACACTAGAAATGGTGTAGATGTAATTATAAATAAGAGTTTGAAAGATAATTTTGTAAAAATTAATAGAATTATAGCTATTAAGATTATTTTTGATACTAAGATTTTTAATATTATAAGTACTTGCGCTTCTCAAGTAGGTTTAAATATAGGTTTTAAAGAAAAATTTCGGAATGACTTAGAAGACTTAATACAAATGGTATCTTTTGAAGAAAAAAAATTTATTAGAGGAGATTTAAATGGACTTTTTTGTACAGTGATAAAAGATTTTAGAAGTATTCATGGTGGCTACGGTTTTGAAGTGATTAATGAAGAAAATAGAGTCATGTTAGATTTTGCTTTAGCGTATGATTTTGTTATTGCTAATACTTTATTCAAGAAAAGAGATGAGATGAGCATATTATTACTAATAAGAATGAATCTAATAAAACACAAATTGATTATTTTCTTATGAGAAGAAGAGATCGTTGAGAATGTAAAGATTATAAGGTCAATTATTTTTATGAGTAAAGTTCAAGATTTCAAGATTTGGGATGTGCATGAAGAAACAAATTTTATGTGGGATAAAGTAACAAACAATATTAACCAAGTGATAAAAGATGTACTTGTAGAATCAAAAGGAGAAGTTTCTATAAATAAAAATGGTTGGTGGTGGAATAATAATGAGCAATAAAATATAAAAATATTAGAAGTTATGTTATAAAAATTGGTTTAAATGTAAAAACTTATAAAATTAGATGAGGCCACCTCAAAACTGTATATATATATAAACTGGCCAAACAAAGAGAAAAGAAAAGTAAAGATTTAACGCAAGTAAAGTGTATTAAAGATGAAAAACAAAAAGAGATTTTCTTAGAAAAAGATATTCCACATAGGTAGATGAGTTATTTTGATAAATTTTTCAATAAAGCTTCTGAAAATGCGATCAACCTTAGTGATCTTAATATCATTAATAATAATAAAATATTTCAAAGATGGAAAGTTCATAGGACTTGATAATATCTCAATTGAAAAGTGAAAATATTTAGGAGATTTGAGAGTTTCTTGGCTTATTAAACTGTTTAATATTATTTTAAAAATAATAAGATGCTTGAGGAGAGGAGGAAGAGTATTTTGGTCTCCATTTTTAAGAATAAAGTGGATGCGCAAGAGTGTGTAAATTATAGAGGAATTAAGTTGTTGTGTTATACTTCAAAATTATCGAGAGGGTAATTGAACATAGATTAAGACTTATTACAAAGCTTTCTCATGATCAATTTGGATTTATGACGGGCAGTTCTACTATGGAAGCTATACATTTATTGAGAGGTTTGATAGAAAAGTACATAGAGAATAAGGAGGATCCACATATGATTTTCATTTTTTTAGAAAAATCTTACGTAAGGTTTCAAGAGATGTCCTTTGGAGAGTTTTAGAGAAGAAAGGTGTTGATATGACTTATATTCAAGTCATTAAAGATATTTATACTAGAGCTATTACATGTGTTCCTACAGAAGGAGGATTGACCAAATATTTTTCTATTTTAGTTGGATTACATCAGGGATCGACTTTAAGCCCATATCTTTTTGCTTTAGTTATGGATGCTCTTATTGGTCATTCATAGGAGAGAGTACCTTGGTGTATGATATCCTTATTGTGGATAAGACCAGAGAAAAAAACTCCAAAAAAACTTGAATTATGGAGGTTTACATGGGGTCTGAAGGCCTTTGTTTGATTAGAACTAAAATTGAATACATGGAATGTAATTTTAGTAGTAGTCGCTCTAGTGGCAGAGTTGTAATTATGTGTGATCAAATTATTAAAAGTTGTGAACGCTTTAGATATCTCGAGTCTATTGTTCAAAGTGATGGTGATATAAATGAGGATGTTATTAGTAGAATTCAAGTTGGTTGGTTGAAGTGGACGACTGCTTCAGGCCTATTTTGTGATAGAAAAGTATCGCTTAGACTGAAAGGAAAATTTTATAAGATGGCGTTGAGACCTGCAATGCTCTATGGTGTTGAATGTTGGCCTTTAAAAGAGAAGCATAAAAATAAGTTAAGTGTTGTTGAGATGAGAATGCTTAGGTGGATGAGTGGCTTTACACTTAGAGACAATGTGAAATAAATATATCTGTGATAGAGTCGGTGTTGTTTCAGTGGCGAAAAAAATTAGAGAGAGTCATCTTATAGATGGTTTGATCACATTAAACCTCAACCATCTGATGATCCAGTTAGGAGAGTAGATGTTTTAGATTCAACTTTTTTTAAGAAAGACAAAGATAGACCTAGAAAATTTTGGTCTTATTGTATAAAAAATTATCTTAATCTATTAGAACTAAATGAAAATGTGACACTCAATCGGATGCAATGGAGAAAAAAGATTCATGTAGTTGACCTCACTTGGTGGGATAAAGGCTTGTTGTTGTTGTTGTATAAAATTGGTCCCATGAACATTTTAGTCCCCCCACTAAGAAAGAATCTTTGGTAGCATCAGCAATTATTATTTTTTTTCACTTATGGTGGTGGAGATTGCATGTATATTGCTTATGTGAATTTATGAGGGAATTATCAGAATTAAATTTTGGTTTCTTATAATTATATTCATTTTGCGAGGCACCTACTTTAACTTCTAGCCCATCCCATATTAAGCTAGATTTTCCTTTTTCCCGGTAGTCATCTTCTCAAGAAATGCTCAATCACAAGCATGCTGAACTATGTTGTTCCCATCGAGACTATGCTCTTTACACCAAAATTCTCACATTTTTCACTAGTTGCTTACTTACCCACTAACCTTTACTCCCCTTCTGATGTGAGATTGGTTTATTCATTCCCCCATTTCTTCTAGTAGCCTTTTGATACGCCTAGGCACCATATTCAACGAACAAACAACTACGACATCCCGATAGATGGGTGAAAAAACACAAATCAGGGCTGCTCTTACAACAATCTAAAGAAAAATAAGCAAGATACAAAAATGATCTACTTTCGAGAGGTAGATAGGCTCTCCTACACCTTAAACACCACTAGGAATAACACCAAAAGGAGAAAATACAACAACCACAACGTAATGCATGAAAAATAAAACAAACCGTAGGTTACCCCTTTCATAGAACCCCTCATGCAACATTTGAAAACTTTCCTTCTAAACTTCCCTTCTAAACTTCCCTCCAAACTCTCCTCCTTGAATATGTGATTATGGTCGGAGTGGGCCCCACCACCTACTTTCCTTCCTCTACGCCTCGCTTGAGTCCCTTCCCTTCTTCCCGCGACAAACAGGTCGGCTGTGCTGCAATCGACCGGTCCCTTCTGGACCGGCCCGTCTGTGGGCGTAACACCTTTCTTCTTAGAAGTATGCTAAAAGCCGCCCATTTTTTGGGCCTCAACTCAAACACTCGTTTCCAACTCTCTTCGGTAGGGGTGTGCATTATTTGGTCAACCAAAAAATTGAACTGAATCAAATAAGTTTGGCTTAATTTGGTTCGGTATAAAAAATGCATTTCAATTTTTGGTTTTTAAAATTTAAATATTCGATTTCCGGTTGTTGGTTCGGTTTTAATTTTCATTTAATCGAAAAAAATACTAAAGTTAATTAAAATTTTTAATTTCATTTTAGTTTCACGTCAAACAAACTGAAAAAATCAAAGTTTACATTATATGCAACATTTGATTGAAATAAATTGAAGATCCATGAAAATAAATCAATAATATACATATAAGATATATAATTTGTAATATTTATTCATAGTCATACCAACAAACAATTAAATATTAGTTTGCTCATAATTATATCATTTAAACAGAATTAAATCTTGATTTGATTTTATCATTACTTTAATTGGTTCGATTTTTCATATTTCAGATTTTAGTTTCAATCAATTTGATCAATTTAAAACTCGATCTAACCAAACTGACTGAATCCTCACCCCTACTCTCCAGATCGCCCGTTTCAGGACCGTTTTGTAATTTTTATCTCAATTATGGACATTGAAGTATTATCTTGTGTGTGGATCAATTGAGAACAGGGGATTCTTTGAAATTCATTTTTGTTATGATAAGTCCTATTGTGTTTTTTTATTTAATATAATGTTAATATTTCATGATTAATAAACCAAATCTATTAATTGACAATGCCACTGTGTCAACTTATCAGACAAAGGGGAATTATACATGTGGGGAAATGCAAAAGACTGTCAGCTGGGTGTGCCTGGCCTGCCTGACGTGCAGCCATTGCCTGTCCAAGTTAAATTCCTCGTTGATAATCAGCGATTGGGCTCTCATCAAGTGCTCTCAGTCTCAATTGGAGCATCTCATGCCATGTGCTTGGCTTTGAGGCATTCTACCAAGCAATCTTGAAGTCTCCTTTGTCTTTTGGGACATTTACATATATACCACCCAATTGGTATTGTATTTACATTCCTAACACCTGTACTTTGCTTTATGTATTTATACCACACAAATCATTCATATCACATGAAAATACCACTATTTTAACTTTTAAAGATGGAAATACATCTTCTTAAGCATAGGAAAGGTGGTATATATATATAAACATAAGCTGAAGTTTTGGTGCTAGAGAAGTAAATATGTAGGAATTTCTTGGTATGTATGTAAATCTTCTTTTTTTTATTTAAGTCAATGTGCTACATATTCGGCCATTAGTCTCCTCTGATATACTGAGAAATGAAACTTAAAGATAGCATCCATTCGTGAAAATAAAGAAAGCCTCTTGCTCATGGTTATTGTTCTCTGAAGCAGAGAGAATTACAGTTACTTCTGCTGAATTGTTGATGTTAGAAATCTGTATAAAGTCATTTGAATAATCGTCAATGAGCTAAAATTTGTTTACCTAATATATTTTTTATCATGCATTTATATATAAATTTGTTGGTTTTAATTAATGATATTGATGGCCTAGTTATTTCTAAGCATTTTCATTAATGGTTTATTTGGAGATGTAGCTTCTTGTAAAAGTCACCAAGTAGTTATTTGTTGAAAACTAATTTTTTAAATTTTGAATTGTGGTTTTGTTTTTTTTAAAAAATAAGAAATTTTTAAATAGTTGTCATACTTACAGGTCTGGTTATGGCAAGTTATTTTGTCGGCCGAGTATTTTTTGAAAAAAAGTAAAAAAAATGTTGTGGCTAGGGGTGTTAACGAGCCGAATAAGAGCGAGTCTAGGCTCAGCTCGTGTTCAACTTGTTTATATTTCGAATGCCAAAAATTTGTTTGTATTTGGCTCGTTTGTTTAGCGAGCTAAACACGAGCTGTTTGTGAATAGAGAGTCGTTTTGACAACTCTAGTCACACGTAGCCTTTAGGGGTTTAAATGAGCTGAGCTTGAGTGGGCCCGGGCTCGATTTATTAAAAAATATATTGTTCATGTTTGACTTGTTTATATATTGAGCTAAAAAAAATTGTTCGTGTTTGACTCGTTTGCTTATTAAGCCGAACACTAGCTGTTCACGAACAATTAGTCATTTTGAGAACTCTAGTCACATAGTCGTATGATGTAAATATTAGGGTGAGATTTAAATCTTATTATTTATTTTAAAATATTTATTTAAATAGAATTAAATATAAGTTGGTTCCATTTTTAATTAGTAATTTTAATTAATTATAGATTTTTGTTGTCATGTAGTCAATTAATATATATATATATATATATATATAATTTAATTAGTTGAGTTGAACACGAAAGAACAAAATTTTGTTCGTATTAGGCTCACTTATTTTGAGAATAAATCAAACATGAGTTACATAACGAGCCAAACAAGAACTGTTTGCGAATAACGAATTGTTTTGAGAGCCTGTTGTGGCTTAGAAGATTGATAATTATGTAATAAAAAGAAAGAAAAAATCTTAATAGATTTTAAATCTTTTAATTAAGTTTGTCACATTGCATATCAGTCTTGTAATTATATTTACTAAAATCATCAAGCTTTTAAATATTCATCTTTCTATTTATTTCCTCTTTAAATAGCGTTCCAGACTTTGAGAAATTATTGCATCAGGATATCTGATACACATTTGCATCAGGTGTCCAATAACAGGGATCATGTGGTAATTTGGGCCCATTGACATCACGAGTTGGGCCCAAATTATCACGTGACATCCTGTTATTAGACACCTGATATAAATTTAGATGAGGTGTCCTGATATAATAATTTTTCCAGTTTCTTTCTAGAGAAACTGCACCGGACCTGTGTTATAAAAAGCGCCTGCGGTGAGAGAATCTATCGTCCTGCAGACGCATTTTAGCTGCGCGATCGCTTCCGCTGCCTTTTTTTTCTCTGTTATAAAGTTTTCAGGTAAAGAGACAATGATGAATGTTTAATTCTTCCACCTGAGACGATGATGAATGATTCCAGCGCTTCGGCGGCCAGGCCTACTGCGGGATCAGCCTACCGGAAGACTTCAAAGAGACGAAAATGTATGTTTTTTTCCTTTTCTTTTTTCTGTGCTGCATTTGTAGGATTTGTTTTTTTTTTCTTTGATTTGTTGGCTCATTGACATGCGATACCTTGCCCTCTGGCAAAGCTTTTTGTTATCCAAAATGTTCGGTTTTAGTTACCATTTATGTTCATCTATTGGGCCTAACCCTGACAATTATTTAGAAATTGGTTTCAGATTCGAGGTTTACTCAGCAGGAGCTTCCAGCCTGCAAGCCGATTCTCACCCCACAATGGGTATGTTTCATGTATGCTTATTCTTTTGTTGAAGCAAACTAGAATTGTTTCTGATGCAGCGCCTACTGCTTTCTTTAGGTTATCTCATTGTTCACTTTGGTTGGCATAATCTTCATTCCTATTGGCGTTGCTTCCCTTCTTGCTTCTAACGATGTAATGTTTTATTAGCCTTAGCCATTCAGTTTTTATCAGAGTTTTTATCAGTTTTTTTTTTTTTGTATATTTATTTATTAAATTCGATAGTTTTCTGAAAAAATTTCCATTTTGTAGGTTGTTGAAATCGTTGATCGGTATGAAACTGCCTGCGTACCACCCAGTATGATTAATGATAAGGTTGGGTACATTCAGAATCCTGCCATCAGCAAAACTTGTTCACGGATGCTCAAGGTTAGATTTGCAAATTGTCTTCCTTTAAATTATTGCTATTTTGGAAAGAAAATTACTTGGTAGTGAGGTTATCATGATTATACAAGACATAACTATATACTTTGATGTTTTATTGTAATGATCCAATAAACCTTTTTTTTTTAATTCATTGAGCTGTAAATTATTCGGATAAGTAAATAAAGAAAGAGTAAATGCAAAATAGAGCTTTTATTTACACTTATTGAAAATAGGGTTGCAGATGAAAATTGATAACTTTTATTTACAATAATAATCTTCCAAGGTTGTAAAACAGGAATCATCTTCCGCAAGGAGATTCTACAATGCATAATACTTTCTTGTTTCTTACAGGTACCCAAGGATATGGACAAGCCTGTATATGTATACTATCAGCTTGACAACTTCTATCAGAACCACCGGAGGTATTCAGAAAATTTTCTTTTTTTGTTCTTATTATCTTCTATTCAATATCATTCCATTGGTATTTAAATATTAGTAATCATGTGTTAGTCATGTTTCTAGCATAGTTTCTGTACACAAACAATATAAATCTGTGGTACTTATTGATCACATTTGTGTTATTTTGGCCCATTATGACATTTATTATGCTAATAGGTCAGACTTAAATTAAGGAATAGTGAAATTAGTAGTTTGATTCGGAGAGGAATTAGTCTAATCCTTATGGCTAATAACATTCAGGTATGTAAAGAGCCGAAATGATAAGCAGTTGAGGGATGCTAGCAAAGCTTATGAGACTAGCGGTTGTGATCCGGAAAAAGCTGCTGCAGACGGAACTCCAATTGTCCCTTGTGGACTTATAGCTTGGAGTTTGTTCAATGACACATACAGCTTTACTCATGGCAATGGTGAATCACTGACAGTGAACAAGAAGGATATTTCTTGGAAGAGTGACAGAGATCACAAGTTTGGATATGATGTATATCCTAAGAACTTCCAGAGTGGAGCTCTGAGAGGTGGTGGAACACTTGATCCTAAGAAACCTGTATGTGTTTTACAGCATTACAGCCTGTTCTTAGTGTTTTATTTAAAATTTGAAGTGATTCAAAACTTTCTTTTTGGAGTACTATTATCTATAGTCTTTGCAATTGTGTCATTCAATAGCAACTATAGTTCATTTTTCCTCTCTGCCAGTTGATATTGCTTCCAATCCTGCGTCAGTGTTAGTATATGGCTTGTTAAGCTTGCTATTAGATTCTTTGACAAGGAAGATTTCAGTTGATATCTCTTCTAGGAGTGTCAAAGAGACCTGATTTAGTCCTGATTCATCCTTAAACTGACCTTTCTTTGTCTTAGGAATGTCAAATTATATCTACATAAGCTTTGACTAATTTTATTCTAATGAGTCGTCACCTAGCTTGTTGGTCATAATCGCTCCTGATGAACGTTAATCGTCCCAATGTCTTGTTTTATTAATAGCCCCCTAATACTAATTGATTCGTTCCAACTTTAATATCAAGGGTCAGGAATTCAATAATTTCTATCAAGACTCGTCTTTCCTGCACAGATCATCAATATATTTGTCTACCTTTCATGTTAGATATGACACTCTATATTCAGCATTACTTAAGAACCTATATTTACTTGATCAACTTTGTGCCTCAAATCTATAACTTGGAGAAATAACATTCTCCTCTTAACCATTTGGCTGCGCATTTTTTCAACAAAAGCCTTGCTCTAAATATTGAAATGATAAAAATTGGCATCAAGGTAACTTGTGAAGCATGAGATGAACCCACCTTATAATCTCCAGTGATCTTACATTGAACATATGCTCTCATTTCTTCTAATATCTGACCTGTAAGGTAGAAGCTGACATTTTTCTACTTAAATCATAATGTTGCATCTTTAATGATGACAAAATTTAAGTTGCCCCTCTCCATATTGCATCCTTTAATGCATAGAGTTTATTACTTCATTTTTTATAAAAACCAAAGTCCCTTCGCAAAATTCAAGTATTCAGCATTACTTAAGAACCTATATCCGGCCCTTTTTAGCATATTAAATTCTTCTTAAAGTTTTGGTACATTCATATTCAACTTCCAATGCCAAAATTAACTACTTTTACGTTGCTATTTTTCCCATATAAACATAACTATTAATTTAAAGGGCATCATCTGAATTTATAGAATTTGCTTCTTTTTTTCTCTGCACCAAACTCTGCAGAAGCTCAGACTAGCTTTATTCTAACTCTTTATTCAACATGAACCTTATCCAGATTGCATTTCTTACTGTTGTTATTATAAATTTATTATTTATTCGACAGCTGAGCAAGCAGGAGGATCTTATTGTGTGGATGCGTACTGCAGCACTTCCAACGTTTAGGAAGCTGTATGGAAGGATAGAAGTTGATCTTAAAAAGAATGAAATCATTACTGTAATGCTAGAAAACAACTACAACACTTACAGTTTTGGTGGCAAGAAAAAGCTGGTGCTTTCAACCTCAACTTGGCTTGGAGGAAAAAATAATTTCCTTGGCATTGCTTATCTTTCTGTTGGAGGATTGTGCTTCTTTCTAGCAACAGCTTTCAGTGTGGTACATTTAGTACAGCCTAGGTGAGTTTCCTCTACAAATTTCTATTCACAATCTTCATGCATCATCCATAGCTCGTCTATTGAGGAAATTTTCTGTTTCTTATATTACAACAATATATGCTCCTTCTGTATGCTCTTAGAAACATGTCGGGAACAAAATGCTTATTTTAATGTTTTTCTTATTTTCTCCAAATAATGCAGGGAACTTGGTGATCCTTCACTCTTATCATGGAATACAAATTCTGGAACTCACTAGGCTTTCCGAAAGCAGGCTGTGTATTTTGGCGTGGTCTGTTTGTTTGTTCATATATTATTTCTAAATTCATAAAGGTATACAATACTTACAACTTACAACTTTGTTTCTCTTTTTGGACATAAGTTGTAAATGTGAATTTGTAATTTGCTTAGAATTCGTGCAATTTTACCATTTCTTCTACAGAAAATATATGCCCTTTATTTTTGAGAATCTTTGGCTAACTTTGGATGCATTGTAATTTGCTTAGAATTTTTTATGTGATAATAAATATTCGAGTGTTATGTATTTTATTTTATTTATTTATTTTTTTTACACTCTTAAAGAACACACACTGCGTATGTAAAGTCTTGAACTTATGACCTTCTGATTGAAGGACAAAGCTTTCGATCACTAGGACTAGGCCAAGGTCTGGCAAGGTGGGTTGGCAGGATTTGAGTGTTATACATGTAAATAAGAAAATTTAGGCGCTAGATATGTAAATATATAAGAATTATTTGGTTAGAATGCCCTTCTTGAATGAAATCTCCTTAAACTCTTAATTTAAATAAATTCTTTACCTCTAGTTAGATAGTTTTACCCAAGTAATAATAATAATAATAACAATAATACTAAGGCTTTCCGAACAGCACAATGATTTATCCTATTTTACAAAACAGAATAACTAAATTTGGCACAAAAGATTCTTCGTATCTGAATATATGCCAAAATTTTTTGGAATTACACAACCATAATTACATTTTTTTTTATAAAATCATAACATCAAACAATAAACATAACTTATGAATAATAGCAAAAAATTAGGGGTTTTTACAAACATAGCACGCAAAACATTGTTATTTATGTATCTCGTATCCCAAACCCGATTGATGCTTGTTCTAAACTCCTGCCTAGCTGCAATAAATTTTGAAAATCACTAGATCGCAGCAGAAAAAGACTTCTAGAATTCCCATCTTTCTCCTAATTACGTCCTGCTTCTATCAGAAACCCTAGCTTTTCTCCCTTTTCCTGATTTTCCTTCTACCCTCTACCTATGAGAGCTTAAACTTCTTTAATTCCCTAACCTAAATTTAAGGCAAAATGGAGGAAATACGGGATTTAATAACTTGTAGGATTTAGAGATTGTTATTTTTTGTTGATTGGCAGGAGGAGAAACTAGATTTAAGATCGTGCAGGATTTTTAGGTGGTGTTTGGGTACAATCGGGATTTACATTAAATACGAGTTAGCAACTTCAATAAATCCTGCAACGGAGATATGACTCATCGACAACAGAATAAATTCTTAAAATCCGTCTCTCATTCAAATTTATTAAATCCTGATTTATATCACAATAGAGACGGAATGAGATGAAAAGTGACTGAACGCAAAAAAAAATTGATTTGACAGAGCCTTGGATTTAATTTTCAAGATTTAATTTTCAATTTTTTTTTTTGTGTTTGGTTGAATTTAAGTTAAAATCATTTCCAAATCCTATTAATAGTATGCTACCAAATATTGCCTTAAGTCGCTATTTTTACTGCTCGGCAGGATGCCCTCCTCAAAGATTTTAGCAAAAGTGGGGTAGGAGGAAGATGGGAGTTTCAGTGGTCTTTGTATGCCACGATCCTGTCACTCCAGTAGGAGCGATGCGAAAAGAGAAAAAAGATGAGAGTTTTGGAGGCAATCTCGTTGCTTTGGTAGGAGCGGGGAGAAATGAGATGGAAGTTTTGAAGGTTTTTGTACGCTAGCGTCACTGGAGGGAAAAATTATTGGGTCAGCACATCAGATGCAAATTTGCGCCCAATGTCCATATAAAAATGAACACTTGGAAGGTGGGTTTCACTTTTAAAAAACAACAAAAAATGTTTATTTCAGTGGGCCCCATATTTGTAGGTGGACCATTTTAATTTGACACCAGACGCATATTTGCGTCCGGTGTCCTGGCGCAATAATCTCTCCATTGGATAAGGTTTTTTGCTGGAACCATGGTTTTATAAGAGCTTTTCCTTGAAAAAAATGACAGAGGCGATCTAATGAGCTTGGAAACACGAGCGTTATCAGAAGCTGGTTTCACCCGCAAATTTCATAATATTAAAATTTGGGTTGAGATATGTAAATAACAATATTTTATGGGTTGTGTATGTAAAAGCCCCAAAACAAATATTTGAATTGTACATTATTTAATAATTTTAATCTACCATTGAATGAAATAAATCAAGAGATCTTGAGCCAAATTTAAACATGCATGCCAGTATTACATTATCTCCAATCATAAAATCATTGGTTTCAAAACTAAAACACAATAATATGCATGAATTAAGAAACAAAAAATAAAAGCCTATATATCAAATAGAGTTCACGCAATTTTAAAAAATAATACAAAACTATTGCTCTTCATAAAATTTTAGAACTATAATCATCATCATCTACAAAACTAAACGAACTTGCATATGCAGTTTTGTAAAAAATTCTCACAGTACTCTGAGCAAGTAATTGGTGAGATAAGCACCTTCTGGGTATGATGGATCGATTGGATGATCACAAGCAGCTCCTGCATGGCGCAGCACTGTAAGCTTTCTACCCGCCATTGTCGCAGCTCCCTAATTACAAATTATTTAAAAATAATAACAATGTCTTTGATAAATCTTAAATCCTTAGAGGATAGGAAACAAGAAAAAAAATCCAAATAATATGCTTTAATGTCATTAGTGTATGTCCCAATTCATACATATATATATATATATATATATATATATATATATATATTAAAAAATGTGCTCTGTTTCAGTGAAGAAACCCGCTGCTTTATTGGGGAAAAAGCACTTCTAATATTCTGAGTAGCAGTAATAACTACATTGAAATTTTTAAATAAAGGATACTATTTAAATAAGAATTTACATTACAATTTTGCTCCAGTAGAATAGTGCTTAATGTAATTGTCATAATAGCTATATTTGTGCTGATCAATCAGTATATGGGTTGTAAATTTTATATACAACTTAATTTTCACAATTTCAAAAAGGTTCTGAGAGCTAGGAATAGTATATATTTGCTTTAGTAAATAAAAGAAAAAAAAAAATTGACAAGCTTAATTGGGGCGTACAAAGACATTAGGTATTAGATAAGTAAATACATAAGAATTGTGTGGTATGTATGTAAATTTCCCTAAATCTAAGGATCATTTTGATCATTTACCTTCATTAAAAGTATCAATTCATAATACTTCGTACTTCTCTTCACATATACATCCAACGCAAAACCATCGTTGAACGTATTCAATGAAGATAACTCGTGTGTTTGTGAAAACTGAATCTATAACAGAGTTGGTTACAATTTAGTTGGTGCTGTGGAAATGGGGAATAGAAATTAAATCTAAATAGCTTGTGGGTAATTTAAGCCAATTTTCCTTTCCTATGGGGCGTGCATTATTTGATCAAAACTGAAAAATCAAACTGAACTAAATAAATTTGGTTGGTCGGTTTGATTTCAAAAGCGCATTTTGAATTTTTATTTGAGATAATTACATACAAACCACTTGAAACATTGATATTTACAAATTAACCATCCAAGTGATTTTTCTTAACTGTTGAATTGATGTATTTATGCTGCCATGACAAAACTATTGAAAATTTAATAAAAATGAAAAATACGGGTTCAGTTTTTATCATGAATTTTTATATTTGAGAGAATTTGAAAAATGGATAAGAGAGGGTGGTTTGATTTATAAATTCCAAGTTTTTGGTGGTTGGTATATAATTGCCCCTTATTATTTTAAAAACTTCAATGAACAATTTTTATTACAGGCTTGGTTTTAGTTTTTCCTTAACAGAATAAACCAAAAAAACTGAAAATTTTCAAAATTAAATGGAGGGTTCAATAAAAAAAAATTAATATTATACATGTAAGATATGTAATTTTTTAAATATATTCGTAACAGGACTCCAACTAATAACTAAATTTTGGTTTGCTCGTAACGGAACGGTTTTATCAAAATTTTTATTAGTTTGATTTTTCAAAATTTGGATTTCAGTTGCAATCTATTTGACCAATTTGAAAACCGATCCTGCCAAATATTCACCCCTATTTCCTACTACCCTATTTCCTACTAGTATGGATACAGAAACAATTCAGAAAGTGTTTACTGGAAAAGAAACTCCTCATCTTAAAATCTCATGCTCAAAAGCAAATAAGAGTGCCCAAATGCGCAGCACATTGGTTGGAAACAAACGAAAAATCCTAAGATGATGGGTTCGAGTGCTCACCCCGCTGAAAAAAAAAAAACAAAAACAAGTGGGACTATGATGACTTGCCTGAAGGGTTCGTAAAAATAAACCACTTTGGGTCATAGCTCCAGAACAAGAACATGTCATGAGGAGGCCGCCTCTTTTAGTGATCTGCATTGCTAGAGAATTCAAACTCCTATACATGCCAGATGCGTTTTGCAGAACCTGCAAATTTGACCGTTATAAACGAAGGGAAGGAATATAACCAGTTTTATGTTTCTATTGTATTATGTTTAATAAAACAAAGAAACAAAGCTAATGGTTAGAACCAACTAATCAAGACAATTATGCCTGAAATACAAAAAAAAACAAACCCCTGCTTGCTAGGACTGATTACATGGTGCGAGAAGGAGACAGAGAGCAATCAATAACAGATTATGAAAAAAAAAACAAATATACTTTACGAAAGTTAAATTTTTGCAGAATTAATACCTATTCAGTATTTATGTTAGAACTCGTAAGAATTTCTTAAATAGGGAACAAGCCTTAAACTGATTTCAAACTGAAGCTCCTGCTCTTGAAAGAATGAGGATTGGATTACCGCTTTTACATTGAATTTTAAAGAAGAAAATGAATATATGAATATCACAAATTTGGATTAGTTACTAAATAAATATAAAGAGTATAAAAATAGGATAAAATCTTTAAAAAATAAAATGATATTACTCACAAAAGTTTAGTTACGGAGTTGCTCAGAAGCAACTTACCTTTTTACGAGGTGCTAGTTTTGGAGGATCCAGGATGACTAAATCCCACATTTCATTTTTGGATGCAGCCATTTTCATAAATTCTGCAGCATCTTCTTTCAAAAAGGAGATTCTGCCTGGATCAAGATTATTTAAATGAACATTTTCTTCTGCAAGTTCCAAGGCAGCCAATGAAGAATCAAGGCCTGCACTGAAAGGCATGGAATGCAATTAATTGTTGATATGCATAATAAAAAAGTGCAGCAATCTGCAAATTTTGGAACAAACGATGTGATTTTGAGCATTCATTATTGCTGGCAATCTCGTGCTTGAATGTATAAAGAAAAAAAGTGAGCTTGCCACAACATTCAAGTGCGAGTACGTGCTTTTCTTAACGCGATAGGAAAAATCTGTTATATTTGGGTGTTTTCGTGCAAGTGAAACCTTGTATGTGTTTTTCTTAGCGTGGTATAGAGGAGGATGCTTGACAATATTTTGAGCAAATAAACTGAATGCCTCTTCCTTTGCTTTCATTCCAATAAATAGTAGTTTATACAATCTATTTTAGGTCGATCCCTGATGTAAACCAACAGAAATAGGAAAATATTTTGTCAATCCTCCTTCAGTTTGAACACAAGTAAGAGCTCTAGTATACATATCTTTAATGACTTGAATATAAGTCATATCAACACCTTTCTTCTCGAGAACCCTCCAAAGGATATCCCTTGGAAGCTTTTTCTAAATCAATAAAAATCAAATATAGATTCTCCTTATTATTTCTGAACTTCTCCATCAAACCTCTCAATAAATGTATAGCTTGACAATATTTTGAGCAAATAGGCTCAATGTCTCTTCCTTTGCTTTCATTCCAATAAATAGTAGTTTGTACAATCTATTTTAAGTACATAATATTCAGTATAATCTAATTTAAGTAACTTAATAAATACATATTTATAATCTAAATATTCAACTAAAAGGAGAGAATCCGTGTAATTATAATATTTCCTTAATTCCTGATTGATATCCCCCTTCAAATTGATGTTGGACATCAATTTGCTGACAAGAAACTGACTGCAGTATTGCGAAGAAGGAAACTCTTTATTATGTCTGATTTCTTTTATTCCTGATTGATATCCTCTTTCAAATTGATGCTGACTGGTCAAAAAACATCAAACTGATCAAAAAACATCAATTTGCTGACAAGAAACTGATGACGCTGTCGAGAAAGAACTTTAGTAACTGTATCGGTCTTTTGAATATTAGAAGTGATATGAGATTGAGATATAACACCATCCTCATAGGCTTCTCGAATGGAATGCCAGTCTACTTCAATGTGTTTTGTGCGCTCATGAAAGAAGTGTACTAGTATTATCTGCATGAAGGGAATTAGACTCAAGTTGAAGAAAACCAAGCTCAGCCAGCATGCCACGAAGCTAAATGATTTCAGAACAAGCTGAGGACATAGTGTGATATTCTGATTCAGTAGATGACTTAGACACTCGATCTTGTTTCTTGATCTTCCAAGAGATTAAAGAGTTGCCGAGAAACATGCACCATCCAGTAATAGATTGACGTGTATCAGAACAACCAGCCCAATCGGCATCACTACAGGCTGTTAAGGTGATAGGAGATTTTGCAGAAAAGAACAAACCACGATGAGAAGTACCTTTTAAATATCAAATAATACGTCGAACTGCAGCTAAATGAAGATGTATCGGGGCTTGCATAAATTGACTGACTTGTTGCACAGCAAATGAAATATCAGGACGCGTAATAGTCAGATAATTGAGACTATCAACCAGTTGTCTATATAGAGATGATTCAAATAGAAAATCACCATCATTCTATTGATATTTGACATTTACCTCCAAAGGAGTATTAGTAGAGCGACCATCTTGAAGACCAACCAAAGCAATGAGTCTCTTCGTATAGTTGTGCTGATGAAGAAAAATACCAGCGGCAGAAGAGTGAACCTCGAGTCCTAAGAAATAAGTTAATGACCCTAAATCTTTCATATGAAAAGAACCCTGAAGACGTTTCTGTAGCTGAGACATCAATTGATTATCAAATCCTGTGATGATAATATCATCAACATATACTAATAACAAAACAATTCCCTTGTTAGTCTTGCAAAGAAATAATGATGAATCATACTGACTTTGTATAAAAAGAGAAGCTAAGAAGGGTATTGCGAAACTTTTCAAACCAGGCCCGTGGAGCCTGTTTCAAACAGTATAGGGACCGTTTGAGCTTACAAACATCATGTGAAGGTGTAGAAAATAAGTCTGGAGGACGAGTCATATAAGTCTTCTTTGAGATCCCCATGTAAGAATGCATTCTTAACATTCATCTGTTTTAAGAACCAGCCTTTAGATGCAGCAATAGATAATACCAGTTTGACAGTTGTCATCTTAGCCACAGGTGCAAATGTTTTGTCATAATCAATCCCGTATTCCTGTCGATTGCCAAGAGCTACCAATCTTGCCTTATATCTGTCAAGAGAGTCATCAGATCAGAGTTTAAGAGAAAAAACTCATTTACAACCAATGGGTTTAACACTTGTAGGACATGAAACAATATCTCAGGTGTGATTGTTTTGAAGTGCCTGAAGTTCCTCTTTCATAGCTTTGACCCAACAAGTCTGTTTAGCAGCTTGAAAATAAGAGGTAGGAACAGTAGTATTAGTTAAAATTGCAGACCAATCGAGGCAATCAACAGACCAATCGAGAAAGATTGAAGTTTACTTTCCCTTAAAGAGTATACAACTTAGTAAGGAACTGCGCTAGTATCCACCATGGGTAGCTTAGTGAACACCCACTGGGGATATAGAAGACGTCCGCTAGGGATGAGCAAGAAATATATTTATCAAAGATTTATTTGTGTGTGTATTTTTTTAGAAGTTTTGAGGAAGAAAAGCACAGAGACTCATCTTCAAGTCAAGAGCTAGTCAAAGACACAACTACACCACTTGAGGTATATGGTCTCAGTGGTAGCAAGTGTCAAAAGAGAGTATAGGATGTCGTGTACACTTAAAGATGTCTTATACCTAGCTCAGACATATGTATAGATTCAACATATACCCGTTAGGGGAAGGACGGTATGAATCTAGAAGTATTGTCGTGATTCAGCCGAAATGTGGTAATGACCTGACCGGTATTGTCGTAATTTGGCAAAGGATTGTCATGATTTGGCAGAGAGTTGTTGTGTATTGACAAAAAGTTTTTGCGTAGCTTCGGTGGGGCAGAAAAGAGTGTGTTTTTCATTTGGTGTATGTGTAGTCTGTGCTGACGTAGCGAAGTGTGCAAATTTTAGTTTGGTGTGTGCGTAGTCAGTGTCGACGTAGCGTGAATGAATTTTTTATATGGTGTGGATGGAACAGGTGCCCCAAACGCGTTGTGAGGTCTCTTTTACTGTTTTGATTTTATCACATTAGGAAGGAATGCATTAAGACTGATATCCAACCCAATAAGTAGCAAGTGCCAAGAATGGGTGAGGACAAAGCTGCCCCAGGTGCTAAAAAAAGATGAGGCTATGAAGCCCATCATATGTGCTGAGAAAGGATGATGCTATGAAGCTTATCCCAGTTGTCGTGAAAGGATGAGGCTATGAGGCCTATTATATGTGCTGAGAAAAGATGAGGCTATAAAACACATCGTATGTGCTGAGAAAGGATGATGCTATGAAGCTTATCCCAGTTGTCGTGAAAGGTGGAGGCTATGAGGCTTATCATATGTGCTGAGAAAAGATGAGACTATGAAGCCCATCATATGTGCTGAGAAAGGGAAAGGATGATGCAAAGGATGATGCTATGAAGCTTATCCCAGTTGTCGTGAAAGGATGAGGCTATGAGACCTATTATATGTGCTGAGAAAAGATGAGGCTATGAAGCCCATGGTATGTGTTGAGAAAGGATGATACTATGAAGCTTATCCCAGGTGCTGAGAAAGGATGAGACTATTGAGTTTATCCTATGTCGCTGAGGAAGGATGAGGTTATGAAGCTTATCCCAGGTTTCTGAGGAAGGATGAGGCTATGAATCTTATCCCAAATGCCGATGTTGAGAAAGGTAAGGCTATGAAGTCTATCCCAAATACTGAGAAGGATGGGGCTATGATGTCTATCCCAGGTTGCTGAGGAAGGATGAGGCTATGAAGCATATCTCAGGTGCTGAGAAAGGATGAGACTATGGAGTCTATCCCAGGTTGCTGAGGAATGATAAGGCTGTAGAGTCTATCCCATGTGCTGAGAAAGAATGAGGCTATGGAGCCTATCCCAGGTTGTCGAGGAAGGATGAGGCTATGAATTCTATCCCAAATGCTGAGGAAGGATGAGGCTATGTTACCTATCCCAGGTTGTCGAGAAAGGATGAGGCTATGAAGCCTATCCGAAGCCTATCCCAAAGATGAGGCTTTGAAGCCTATCCCAGGTTGCTGAGGAAGGATGAGGCTATGGAGCCTATCCCACGTT